TTCCATGTACCTGTCCATTTTTTTCCCAACACCATGTAATGAAGAGATTGTCTTTACTCCATTGTATGCTCCTGCCTCCTTTGTCAAATATTAATTGATCATAATGGCTTGGGTCAATTTCAATGGTTTATGTTCTGTTCCACTGATCTATATGCCTGTTCTTGTGCTAGTACCAGGTTGTTTTGATTACAGTAGCTTTGTAGTATAACTTGATATCTGGTATTGTGATTCCTCCAACTTTGTTCTTCTTTCTCAAGATTGCTGTGGCTATTTGGGGTCTTTCTTCTGGTTCCATATAAATTTTTTGGAGTATCTGTTCTAGATCTATGGTTGGTATTTTAATATGGATTGCATTAAATCTGTAGATTGCCTTGGGTAATATGGACGTGTTAATGATGTTGATTCTAGCAATTCATGAACATAGTATAACCTTTCATTTGTTTATATCTTACTCTTTCTCTTTTTTCAATGTCCTGTAGTTTTCCAAGTACAGGTCTTTTACCTCCTTGGTTAAGGTTATTCTTAATTAAATATCTTAAATTTTTTGTTGCAATGGTAAGTGGGATTGTTTGTTTACTTTCTCTTTAGGAGAGTTCATTATTGGTGTATAAAAATGCCTTCCATTTCTGGGTGTTAATTTTATATCCTGCTACATTACCAAATTCATTTATTAAATCTAGTTGTTTTTTTGGTGTTTTTTTTTTTTTTTTTTTGTAGATTGTATAGGGTTTTCTATGCACAATATCATGTCAACTGTGTATAATGAGAGCTTTGCTTCCTCCTTTCCAATTTGGATGCCTTTTATTTCTTCTTATTGTCTGATCGCTGTGGCTAGGCCTCCCAGTGCTATGTTGAATAAGAGTGGTGAAAGCAGATATCTTGGTATTGTTCCTATTCTTAGGGGAAATGGCTTTAGCTTTGCCCATTGGGTATAATGTTGGCTGTAGGTTTTTATTATATTGAGGTATGATCCCACTATTCCCACTTTGCTGAGAGTTTTTACCAAAAATGGGTGTTGAATTTCATCGAATGCTTTTTTCTGCATCTATTGATATGATCATGTGATTTTTGTATTTCAATATGTTTATGTGATGTAACATATTTATTGATTTGTGAATATTGTACCAGCCTTGCATCTCTGGAATAAATCCCACTTGGTCATGTTGTATGATCTTTTTAATGCATTGCTAGTTCCTACTTGCTAATGTTTTGTTGAGGATTTTAACATCTATATTCATCGAGGATATTCTCTTTCTTTGTAGTGTCTTTATCTAATTTTGACATTAGGGTAATGCTAGACTCATAAAAAGTCTTGGAAGTGTTTCTTCCTCTTGAAGTTTTTGGAATAGTTAAAGGAGGATGGGTGTTAGTTCTTTGAATGTTTGGTAAAACTCCCCTGTGAAGCCATCTGGACCAGGGCTTTTGTTTGCGGGGGGAAGGAAGGGTGGGTGGGTATTATTACTTCAATTTCGTCAGTAGTTATAGGTCTATTCAAGTTTTCTGATTCTTCCTGATTGAGTTTTGGAAGATCTTCTAGACAAAAAATCAACAAGGAAACAATGATCCTAAATGACACACTAGGACAGATGGAACTCATTGACATTTACAGAACATTTTGCTTCAAATCTACATACATTATTCTCAAATGCACATGGGACATTTTCAAAGATAGATCACTTATTAAAACATAAGTTCAATAATATTGAATTCATATCAATCATCTTCTCAGATCACAATGGCATGCTATTAGAAATCAACTATAATAAAAACACTCAGAAACATTCAAACACATAAAGGGAAAATAGCACGTTATTAAACAAGAAAAAACTCAAAAACTTCCTGGAAGCAAATGAAAATGGATACACAGCAACCTCAAATCTATGGGACACAGTGAAATCAGTTCTGAGAGGGAAGTTCATAGCACTAGGGGCCAACCTGAATAAACAAGAAAAACTCCTAATAAATTATCTCACCCTACAACTTAAAGAATTCAAAAGAGAACAAGAAAATCCCAGAGTAAATAGAAGAGAAGAAATAATAAAGATTAGAGCAGAAATAAATAACATAGAGACTAAAAGAATGATACTAAGATCAACAAACCCAAGAGCTGGTTCTTTGAAAAGATAAACAAAAGTTATGAACCTTCAGCCAGACTCATCAAAAGAGAAAGCGAGATGACCCAAATAAATAAAACCAGAAACAAAAGAGGTGAAGTGACAACTGAACTCACAGAAATACAAAGGATTAGAAAAAAAATACTATGGAAAAATATTCCAACAAGCTGGACAACCTAGATGAAATGGATATATTCCTAGAAAAATACAATCTGCAGTATTTTCTATAAGCATTGAGGGAAACTAAACACAAGTAAATACAGATTTACATCTCTTAGCTATGGTGCTTTTTTATTTTCTTGGCTCTCATTTAAATTTTCTATTTAATCAGAACTAATTTTATACTTCACAGTACACTATTTCTGTATATGCAGCATCAAAAACTTTCATTCACTTATCTGAAAGCAACAAAAAAATCTTTTTTCTTCATGATAGACACTCATGTCATTATGTAGTGTGTCAGAGTAGCAAAGAAATGAATATTGAATCAAAGTACAGATGAGCGTGACCTGGACTAGAGGAAAGAGTGGACATGACAAGAGGATGACAACTCAAACAGAGTCAAAAGGAACTCTATAAAAATCAAAGCAATAATGAATGTCACTAGACACAACGAGCTCCTATTATCAGTAGGTGACTTGAAATCTCTTTTTTTCTTTGAGGGGTGAGAGTAGAAAATGACAAGAGACAAGTAAAACTTAGGTAGTATAGGAAAAAGTATTTCTTTGTAGACACTTTCTTGTTAAGAATTCCATTTCATTTCAATTAATTTTTCATATGTTCTCACTGATACACTTGTTCTTCCAAAATTGTGTCCATTTACTATAACTGCCAAATTTAAAAATAATATTTACAATAATTGTTTTACTTAGTTAATAAAATTGTTTCAAAGATAGTATTTGTTATTTCTCAAACTAACTGAATTATTTAAGTCAGGTGCCTGATATTATTAGTAAACCTATACTGTACTTTAAACAATTAAATTGGAAAGATTTTCTAAACAAATAACTGAAAGATCTGAACAAAAACCTAGTTCTTCTTAATCCAAATACTGTGTTTCTGCCATGATCACATCTTTATGATATTATCATTGAATTTTTAGTAGTTTAGCTAATTCAGCAGATATAAAATAAATCTTATTTAGATTTGCATTTTTAGGTAAGAGAATAGTAAAGGATTATCAAGCTAAATCTGGCACTTTTTGATGGTGTTCATGATGTTCTCTGAAGCAGTTCAAAATGCAATCATTTGTGTTTACTACATACGTTTTAATATTTATATTCTTTAGACAGAACAGTTCAAGAATTATCTTGTTAGGCAAAAAATTAAAAGGTGGCAACATGTTAAATTTAATTTTTGTAAATACAGAAGTAAAAGATATTTTGGCTCTAGTAGTCTAAGTAAGAAAAATGAAATTAGTGAGGGGACAGTTTTAGCAAAGTGCCAAGAAATTCATAAATATATTTTGAACAAACCAGCAGATTAAACTGCAAAACAATTTGGGTATAAACGAGAAATTTATTTGGGGGAATGACCTGGTGAGTTAAAAAAAAGAAAAAGAAAAAAGAGGAGGCAGGGAAATCACACTGGCAGAAAGAAGAAGGAAAGAGAAACACTAAATGACAAAAGAGGAGAAGCAGTGCAGGAGGAGAAAAAGATCTGATAAGGGAACTAATCTTTCTTCACTGCAATGTCAATGACCAGCCTCTGTGATGACAGGCGGCAAGTTGTTGAGGATGTTCAGTACTTAATTATAGGCAGGATCAAATCCACCAAAGAAACTATTTCTCCCTCTTCTCTTTCTTCCAGTACCGTACTTTAATATCCACAGACTAAGACATTTCTCTTTTTATTAATGCCCCATGCCCTTCTATTATTGGAGGATTGCATAGGTGGAATTTCTCCTTCACTAGTGGGAGTGGTGTTCTTGGGGAACAGCTGGAATGAGCATTTCCGGAAGCCCACATGGGAGGATGAGATGTCCCGCAATGGCTGAGATATCTCTTGGGACTTCCGGTGCAGTCTGTCCGAGCCCAGCCTGCCCTTCCATGCCTCCTCCCCTCCTACCAGTCTCTATGCAGTCTCCACTTCTGGTCCTCGGTTACCAGGGTTCTCTCCAGCAAGTCTTCTGTTGATTATTCAGGAAGTTTTTCTATATTTCAGTTGTAATTCCAGTTGGGTGTTGGGAACATGTTTGTGCAGCATCCACTTACTCTGCGGCCATTTTTAATCTCTATATTTCTTACTTAATGTGGAGCTGTTGCATATTGATTCAAAGAACCATAGGAATGGCTGGGTAATGCATTTGTATTAGAAATGTATAGAATGAATTCAATCAGCATTTTTTTCATTAACTCTGTGTTTGTATTTATATTCGTTATTATTATCATATCTGGTTTTTAATTTTAAGACACAAAAACATTGTATTCTGAAACTCCCTCATAGACATTCTCAAATTCCTACTTTATCAGTAATTTCACCTATTTGGTTGAAGAAAAAAAAAAGAAAAGACTTCTCTAAAGTCAATATATTCTATTTTCCCTTTAATCATAATGAATAAATTTTTTAAAAGGGGCAAACACACATCCATAACAACAGTGACATCAACCAAGGCACCAAACCCCGTGTGACTGAGAAAGTATACTTCTGATATCTTGGTGCTTTACATCACTTTTAGATGTCAGGCTTGTGCCACTCAATCCCAGAAGCATAAAGATAGGTGAAGAATTTTAGCCATTCAGAATTCAGTGAGATGCAGAATGGGAGGGACAGGGCTCACCCACTACCCAAATTTTACTTATTATTCATTATCACTGGAATATAATCATTCCATTTCTGGATTTCCTAAATCTCTTCATGGAAATTATTTTGAGAAAAGCCACACATGTTTGTTTTTTACCACACATGTACTAAAATTGGAATGATACAGAGAAGCTTAGTATGGCCCCTGCATAAGAACAACATGTAACTTTCAGTGTTCTGTATTTTTAAGTAATTGTTCCAGAGTTTTTGTTAAGGTAATAAATTTATTTTGAAAATAGTAGTGATGATGGCACAATATTGCGAAGGTAATTAATGCCATGGAATTTACACTAAAATTATTTAAAACAGCAAATTTTATAGTACATATTTTTAAAAATATTAGTAAATAAGCTTACTAAAACAAAATATAGTTACTTGTAGAGGGTCCATAATATTGAATCATTGTTCCAGATTTTCCTTGTTCTTATAAGGGAAAATTAAAAATTCATTAGAAGAACAAGAATACAAAATGTAATTATGATTTATTTTTCATTATAAAGCTGAATAACAAATTCAGCAGTATTTTGCACATGAAATACATTGAAAAGTAAATAATTAACATGTAATGAAAGCCATGGGAGTGATATTGTTATAATTAATCCAGCTATTAATTAACTGGATAGGAACAGAGGGAAGGCTAAATATTATAAGCATGACCAGTAAAGTCTGGGTGAAAAAAAGAAGGTGATTTTCTGTCAGTCACAGCTGGGAGCAGGCTATTGGTCAGAATAGGTGTGGTCACTGCAGGGGCACAAAATCTGCAGTACATGAACTCCTAAACAAAGGGAGTTCTCTCCCTTGCCCTTCGTGGCCCTCTTACTCTCTTTATACTCTTATTGTGGGGGGAAGGGTGTGCTATTACACTTTGCCCTAGCCCACATGGCTCATCGCCATGTGGACCCCACACAGTGGTAATGGAATACCACTAGCCTGATGTTGATACTGAATTTTTGGACTGGAACCCGGATTCTTTGTCTGCTGGAGTCGAAGAATGAATCCACAGACAGAAAGACAAACAATCCAATTAAAAAATGGGTAAAGGACCTAAATAGACACTTCTCCAAAGAGGACATACAGATGGCCAAGAGACATATGAAAAAATGCTCAAAGTCACTAATCATCTGAGAGATGCAAATTAAAACGACAATGAGGTATCACCTCACACCTGTCAGAATGGCTACCATCAATAAATCAACAAATGACAAGTGCTGGTGGAGAAAAGGGAACCCTAGTACACTGATGGTGAAAATGCAGACTGGTGCAGCCACTATGGAAAACAGTATGGAGTTTCCTCAAAAAAATTAAATATGGAACTGCCATTTGACCCAGTAATCCCACTTCTAGGAATATATCCTAAGAAACCCAAAACACCAATCAGAAAGAATGTATGCACCCCTAGGTTTATATTACCACAATTTACAATAGCTAATATCTGGGAACAGCCCAGGTGCCCATCAGTAGATGAGTGGATAAAGAAACTGTGGTACATTAATACCATGGAATACTTTGAGGCAGTAAAAAAGAAGAATATCTTACCCTTTGAGACAGCATTAAGGGACCTGAAGAGTATCATGCTAAGTGAAATAAGTCAGTCAGAGAAAGACAAATATCACATGATCACATTCATACGTGGAATCTAAGTAACAAAATAAACTGATGAATGAAGTGGGTCCAGAGACTGGAAGCATGAAACAGAGTGCTGAATCTCAGAGGAAAGCGGGAGAGGGTGGGCGGGTGGGAGGTAATCAACCAAGGACATTGTATGGACAGAGACAATGGGGTGGTGAAGGCCTGGGGCAGGGGACAGCTGGAGGGGGTCAATGGGGGGAAAAAGTGGCATATGTAATACTTTCAACAATAAATAGTAAAATAAAAAATAAAAAGATAGGGTGAAAAGGCAGAAATTGCATGGAAAAAATAAGAATTATGTTTGCAAAACATAGACTGATTGTATAAAATGACTTAAAACTTGAAAACTGAATTGATGAAAAAATAATCATAGGCAAACTAAACTATGGCTATCTGTAGTATGCTTTTATAACTTCCAAGCAAAATGAAACGCAATGACCACAATTACTTAAAAATTGTTCTCAGAAATTTCTTAACAATCTGATTGTGTTAATTTTAATTCAACAGTGGCAAATTTACTGAATACAAATTAACATATGTTTTCAGGTGCATTTTGTTATTTGGACCATAGAGATAGTTGCATCATTGGACTATGAAAGGATTTTTATTTATTTATTGAAATTTTTACTTTTATTCACAGAAACCATTGCATTTTCTTTCATTATTTTCAGCAACGTGATTATTTAATTTATATGTATTTAGATAATGCATTGTTTGAATAATTTTATCTCATTTTGCTTTATTTTTTCACAAGGCATTAATTTCTTAAACTTTATATATGTTAACATGTGTATGTAGGATGTATGCAATATAATTTATCTATGCATGTTTCAAGTCATGGGTCCCTAAACTAATTTTTACACTTGGGAAATTTATCACACATATACATATATACACACATAAACACACACTAATATACAAATATATACACATATATGCATAGACACATATAATAAACATATATGTTAACTATATATAGTTAGAAATAAAAATGTTGCTAAAAATAAAATTGAGAAATTTGTTAAAAGCCAAATAAAAAGATAAAAATGAGAAATGTGAGATATGTTATCCAAAGTTCAAGAAACCTAATGTGCTTACCTCTAGAAGTAAGAACAAAAAATATTGAGAAAGAAAAATAATGTTAAAAAATATAGAAAAAAATGCTCAGTGTTGAAGGTCATGTATTTATATTGAATGATCAAATAGAAAATAAAACAGAAACAGAAAATTATCATAAAATTCTAAACATTAAGAATAAAGAGATCCTAAAAACCCAATGACTATTGCAAAAACAATCATTTATAAAAGAAAAGCAGTGAATTTCAATCAGATTTTCCACTGGGGAAGGCAGTATCCATAGGCATGCGGTCTGTCATCACCCACTTGCCTGCATAAGACTGGGCCTGGGCTCGGGACATTTCCTTACCAAGAGATAAAGAACCCACACAGCCTGTTCTCAACTTATCACCTTGTGTGGAAATGTAGTTCCCTGTTTCAGTCTAAAAGAATGCTCTTTTTTCTTTGCTTCAAGCATGTGCATTATATGGCATCTGGCCAATCCTCCTGCTAGGGAGGGCACAATGTCCTTCAGGGTGTATGTAGGCAAACTGCCCTGCATTGGCCTCCAGGAGAGACCTGCTGGCCATGATATGCCAGTGCCCATCATTGAAGCTGATCTTGCTCATTCTCTTCTCTAAATGAGTAAGCATTGTTCCATCCAGTGCTTGACTGCATTGTGTTCTTCTTGAGGAGACTAATACCATGGTGCAAAGGGCAGAAATGTTTAGAATTCTTCTTGAGGATTGGTAACCCAAGCACATTAATCTGCTCAACATTTTCCAATAGCAACACTGGATGGCATTTAAAAATGGATCAGTGATTTCAAATCAAGAATTTTATTTTATTTGCCCGGTGCACAAAATTCATGCACGGGTGCATCCCTAGGCCTGGCCAGCGATAGAAGTGTGAGCATCTGGCATGGAAGGGCAGGTCCCAGCTGACCTCTGGGCCCTGAGCATCGCCTAGGACACGGAGGGTGCTCAGTCAGCGATACGGGGTGAGTAAGATGCGCAGGCAGCGGTGTTAGGTGTAAAGGCCATTGGAAGGCAGACTCAGTTGGAGCCGAGGGCCGTTGAGCTCGGCACAGCGCTCAGGGCAGGCTGTGGGAGCCAGTTGTTCCTTTTCTTGCAAGAAGGTGGGAGGAAGAGAATGAAAAGGGAGCAGTGTGTGTTTTCCCTCAACTACTTAAAGGCTGATGATCTCATTCCATTCTGAAAGCTATGAATAGAAACCCTTAGATCAACCCTGTGAGGCGGGTTCTGGGATTATCTGATGGAGAGTACACGGCCTTCGCCTGCCACAAGGACAGTGCTTAGTAACTACCAGCTTTTAGTGCTGTGATTCCTGCACTGGTGGGGGGCGGCCTGCAGGATCAGCCTGCTGTGAGAGCCGCTTATCCCAGTCAGCCCAGCGCTGTGGACCCTCCCTCTGAGTGGCTGCTACTGCTGTGGGAGGGCCCCACACTGACCACCAGGGGGCAGCTCCTGAGTTGAGCGGCTGGTCAATTGGTCATTCTGGTCATTACGCCCTTTGGTCTGGGCTTTTATTATATAGGATGATTTTAGAAAAAATATTAGTGGCCTAAATGTAAAACTATTAGTGATCTAAAAATGTAAAATGTAAAAGAAAATGTAAAAATGTCAGACAATTTTAATATGAGAGAAGGAAATGTAGAATAATATAGGGGGACATGCACTTATTTTAAAATTCTGAGGGTTATGAGATATGTTAAATATTTATTTCTAAAAAAATGAATTTTAGTGTAATATGAAGATATATAACATTACAACTCTTACCAAAAGTAAAACTAAAAGCAGTAATAATTTATTTATCAAACATTAGCTTAAAAGGATAGTATAATCCATCTATTTATGTGATAGCCACTAGGTATTGTTTAAAGTTGTTAAGATTCTAACCCCAGCCCTTGCCAGTGTGGCTCAGTTGGTTGAGCATTCATTACCCCATGCAACAAAAATTCACTGGCTTGATTCCTGGTCAGAGCACATGCCTGAGTTGCAGACATGATCCCCAGTAGAGGGTTTGCAGGGGGCAGATGATTGATGTTTCTCTGTTACCGTGATGTTTCTCTCTCTTTCTCCCTCTCCCTTCCTCTCTCTCTAAAATCAGTAAAAACCTATTTAAAAAAATTCTGCCCCCAATTTGCATTTAATTCCAATGTGTGTGTTGTTGGGGGTTGGGGGTGTTTTTCCACACCACCAAGCAATTCTCAGACACCAGTTGGGTGTTCTACAATTCAACTGAACTCTGCCACCTCCTACCTGGATATATTGTTGGATAGTTACCACAATTTAAGGGCTGAGACTTAGAAGACTGCCCTTCTCCACGTTAGATGCCAAGTTCAAGTTTAGATTGTCACCTTCTAATGACCTCCTTGAGTTCCATTAATTTGCTAGAGCCACTCACAGAACTCAGAGAAACATAAGTAAAATGTTTACAGCTTATGGTTTGTTATAAAAGGACGTAATGCAGGAGCTGTCA